AACTTGTGAGAAAATCAGGAAAATTTTGTGTGTGCCAAAAAGCGATTACAACGACAGGATTTGGCACAAAACTGTAGTCACGTATAAGAAATAGCCCAACTCTTTGTATTTTAAGCTCAGAGTATTTATTGAAGAATCGATATTAAGGACTTTGTAACAAATATCCACTTTGAAACAAAACTCACAGTACAATTAAATGTATCAACTTTTAAACTTAATCAACGGACATCATTTGCGTCTAAACGTTGGAAACTGATTTTGTTATGCTTCCCTAAAGGATAACTATATCGCTCATAGACTAGACTAAATATTTGTTTTAATAAGAGAACTAATAATATATTGTGATTAATAGATAAATAGACGAGTCAAAATTCATTATGCCGACTCCATCACATCAGATTTATGTTCCTCGACTGCTCCTGTTGCTGAATGTGTTTCTTCTACAGTAAAATCATCAAAAGCAAGTGACCATCTGCCATCATTTTTAATCCATGTTTCCTTGTCAATATGTCCGCTGCCAACGCTCATATACCATCTAGCTGATAAATCACCACTATCAGGACCGGTTACTTTTACGTCAACATTATAATAAACTAAATTTTTTGCACCCGTTGTATCAAGGAATGTTTTCCACCATTGACCAATATTTTCTCTCTGTTCAACAGGTAATCGAGGTGTTTTTGTATTTCGCGGATACATTTTTGCATTAGGTAAATAAGTATCAATAGTGTATTTATAATCACCAGTATTGAAACGTCTAACCCATTCTTGAGAAGCCGCTAAAATTTCTTGACGAATTGTTTCTTTTGTAGAGTCGTTCTTCTGAACTACACCAGTATCATCACAATTGAATAATTTTCCTATAAAGATAAACTTTACTCCTCAAATTGTAAGGGCGGCGAGTTCTAGCAAGTTGTCGTCAAATTGTTGTTACTTAATACTTTCACTTTTCATGTATCATATATGATTCATTTAAGTTCTGACCGTGGAGTTCATGTATCAGATATGATACACTTGTAGGATTAGACTCAACATGATTTTGATCAGAAAAAAACGTTTCTGAACTCGTAAATTTTATTTAATGTGTATTTATTCAAAGGATGATAAACAAAATTTTATTTTGGTGTTTTTAACAAAATGGTTTTTTTGAACATGAACTATACGTCCAGGAATCATATATAATCAGGAAAATTAAAAGATTCTTGAAGGAAGTTTTGTACCAAAAACATGAAAAACTGTCAATTTGAGTCTCATAGTAGCATTATCATGTATTATCTAAAATGGACGTGTAGGTGATGTTTTAGATTTTTTCGTGGAGAGTGGAAGTGTTAAGTGCTGAGAAACAAAACTAGGCAAACCTTTTCTGTAGTTGGGAGACAGACATCGTCAGAAATCCGTCAACTTTGATAACATAATAAAGGTATCTACGAATAATAAAAGTTATAGAATATAGATAGTCTATCATGGCGAATCCATCAGAAATAATTGAAGCCCCCGTTGTCTGATTCAAAATCAGGAAAGATCGTTCACAGATATAAGTTGCTAAAGTCAAGGGACCGAACGAGCGCATACGTACGTTACTTTGTTTATCAATAAATTGAAATTTGAATAAACTCAATAAAGAAAGAACGTTGTTGCCTTTTGGCTCCAAATAACAGCGTTATATCAAAAAAATATACAGCGCAAGATATATCTGCGCAAAATGTATCTGCGAACGACCTTTCGTGACTTTGAATCGAATACAACGCTATCGTGGCAATATTTGTTTTCGCCTAAAATTTGAACAAAAGTCGTCAAAGTTTTTTTCTGGCAATCCGAGTTCTTGCCTGTGGATAGCAAAACTTCGATTGGATATATCTCACTCATTTCAAGTCAGAAATAGATTAAATTGTCGACATACAGTAAAGAAAATTTGAATTAGGGATAAAACTTTATAAATCATAAGTTTTTAACGTTGAGGTTTTTCAGGTCTCTAAAAACCTTCTGATATTCGATGCGCTTGATTCCAAAGTTTTGGCATGCCAGTGGCAACTGTGAGCATTGGTGAACTCACGGTGGAAATTT